TGGAGGGCTGGGCGGGGAGAGAAGTGCAGCAATGGATGAATGGAAATCCAAAATCTCTGTAAATGTTCATTAAAATTATTAAAATAAATAAAAAACAGAAAGGTCCGTGAAGGAGAGGAAGACTCTCAACCTGGTGGACTGACGTGGTGACTGTTGCAATGGGCTTTAGTGTCAGGAGGTGTGAGGATAGAGCAGGATAGGACAGGGTTCAGATCTGTAGTTCATAGGGTCACTATATGTCATACTCAATTCAATGGCACCTAACAACATCAACATAAATGGCAATAGTTTACACTTTTCCCCCTGCTACTAATTCTTTCATTCCAGTGTATTATTTATGCTGACTCATCCATCAAACCCACTGATCTAGTCAATACTACGTCATAGGCGCCTTCTAATGACATTTCTAAGGTTCCAAATTGTTACAGGAAGAGACTGCCTATCTTTCTCCCATGGAGCAACTGATGGATTCAAACTACTGGTCTTTGGTTGGCAGGTCCATGTAATACACACTACATATTTATGCTTACAACACAGCTTGATTTGGACTAACCACAATTCACATCGCTCCTGATCATTACATTGGATTTTTGTTACAGATTATGAAGGATACACACTAAACTAATAATGGTAGATTCCTTTGGAGAGAGGCACTTGGCTTGAGATGACAGAGTATGAGGAATCAGGGATTTTTTTCTTTTACTATTTTACACATCCTAGTTTGTAATCTTAAAAAAAAACACACACCAACAAAAAGGAATGAAATTGACCCCTTCAGCATCAGCATTACTCTAGCAGCTGCCCCATTAATACAATACCTCTTTCTGGTGGTGGCAAATCTGATTTCTCTGCCTCAAGGAATCTGCTGCTCCTCAAACACCCTCTCATCTTTATAACTCCTGATGCTTAAATGCTATTGCAACATTTTCTCACTATCTCTTAGTCCTACTATTGAAAAGCTAAAGGAGAATTATCCACTCACTCGTGTTTCATGATGTTCAGCTGAGGGAGAGTCTGATTTGGGACCACAAAACTCATTCGAGCACAGATGTCCTTATAATCTTGGTTCCGTCTCTCAAAGTCCTCCACGTGGGCAGCCAGGTGAGAATTGACAATGCAGAATGTAGTGTTGTGAAATACAAATCTCACAGCCACCCCGCCCTTGTTGCCCTGTCGCCAAGAGTGATAATCCACAGTTAGTACAAAAAGACACATAGACATTGAACTTCACCTGGACAGAAATAATAATAAACCTCATGTGCAAAATAACTCACCATTTTTCCCATGATGCCGGTTCCAACTGTTTCTGTGGTAACATCACGGATATGACGCCACTGGTCTTTCCTGGCATATATAAGGAGCATCATACCAACGAGGCGGACTAGTTGAACCTAAGAGTTCCAGGAGGTAAGAAAAGGTTCTTACTGACACCATTCTTTGCCACGTATCTAATTTCCCACAAGTAAATTTCCACCAAGAGAACATAATAATGCCCAAATTGATATCCAAGTTATCTAATTTCCTTATGGTTCTAAAAAAGAAATAGTTTCTCTACAGAAAGGTGTAATCTGACTTTGACCAAAACCCATTAAGTTTTCAGGGACAATGAGTACAGTCAAGCTTGAGTGCACTGCTAATGTAAAGGTATGTGATTAAAATCCACCAGCTGCTCCATGGGAAAAAGATGAGCAATCTCCCCCTGTGCAATTTACTGTCTCTGAAAACCTGCTGGAGGGCCAGCAGTGGGTTAGTTCTGATTTAACAGTACCGAACAATTCAGCAGAAGTAGGCTACATTAATAGATTAAATAATCAGGATACATAGCTTATTCCTTCTACCTCTCTTCATTCCCAATTTTCATTTTAAGCAATTTAAATGTCTAACACAATAATCCTTTTCTTCCAATAGACTATACTTAACAAAAGATGGTTGGTTCTGACTCAACAATAAACAACATACATAATAAAACCTTTGCCATTTCAATCATTTTTTTACATGTACAATTTAGTGACATCTGCATCAGAAAGCTAGAGAATGACTGGGGATGATTGCTGCTGTTGATTGCCCTCTAGTCGAGCACGACTCAGTGACCCTATGAAAAAAAGGCCTGAAGCCTTTCTATAACTATCAACCTTTATCAAAGTTCATAATTCCTTTGAGACATGGGGCTGGAGAAGAGTATCGAATAGACAATGGACTGCTAGAAGAACAAACAGGTTTGTCCTACAGAGGGTAAGACCAGGTTGCTCCTTGGAGGCATGGAAGCTTCATCTGACATACTTTGGACATGTTGCAAGGTGGGACCAGTCCTTGGAGAGGGACGTCATGCTTGGGAGGGTGGAGGGACAGCACAGGAGAGAAAGACCCTCGATGAGATGGATTGATTCAGTGACTGAAGTAATGGGGGCAGGTGTGTCAGAGACAATAAGACTGGCACAGGATAGAGGAGGGTTCAGAGCTGTTGTACACAGGGTATCTCTAAGTCATAAGTGACTTGATGGCACATAACAACAACAACCTGTTCATCATATGCAACTATCAGCACTCTCTGCTTTCCAATTTTTTCATCACCCTTAACAAAAAACTCAGTACACTTTAGGCAATACTTCCTCATTTCCTCCTACTTCTTCTTCTTCTTCTTTTTTTTTATAGGAAATGGCTTTATTTTAGCACTTTGAAGATCACTTGGTGTGTGTCACTCTTACTTCTTAACAATAAGCTTTGTTTTCTATGGATTTACCAATTCCAGAGACTTCATTTAGTAACATGTATCAGTACTGTATTTCTCTTTACAGATGAATATTCTATTGGAAGCATTTACCACATTTTCATCTACCCATCCAAGTGCTGATGAGAAACTTCGATTGTTTTTCATTTGTGAACTAGAGCTAGAAATAGGTCTAAAGTATGTATTGTTGTGTTCTGTTGAGCCAGAACCGGCCAATAGCTGACTCTCCTGCCGATTTTCAGAGGCAGTTAATTGCACAGGAGGAAACTGCCCATCCTTCTCCTGCAGAGAAGCTGGTGGCCTCAAACCATGTGTCTTCGAGACTGCAGCACTGCTTCTTGCCACTAGACCACAAGGGATCTATATGAGGAAATATTCTCATCATGAATATTATTACCCAAGTAAATTGTTAGAAGCTGCAAATGAAAATATTTCACATTATTCCTTTAAAAGGGCTTAATATGGTGGCTCTCTCTAAAATAACTCAGTAATGAAAAGGGCACTCTCATGACTTGGTGGTAAAGGGTTGCTCTGCCAATGCAAAGGTATGTGGTTCAAATTCACTAGCTGCTCCACAGGAGAAAGATGGGCAATCTCTTTCCACACTATTTACTGCCTCTGAAATCTTGCTGGGGGTTAGCTGTAAGTTGATTCTGACTTGACAGTATACAACAGCAGAAGTGAAAGGCTTCTATTATAGACCTACTAAAGACCAACAAATTGGCCCCTACCTTGCTCGAGTCAACTCTACTCCTCTTGACTTACAATCAGTTTTACAATATATTTAAATTCCATAAGACTTCTATTATTGCACCGATTCCAAAGCATACCCTATGCACCCACATGCTTCAAGCTACTTTTCTGTAAAACATCCAGTTTGGGACATATCAGTGAACTATTTCAATCTTAAACTTGGACTCCACAAATTAGTCCCTTACATCTAATTATTTCAGACTAATCCACTTCCTAAACAACATGCCTCTAGAAACTCTATGAACTTTGATAAATGCCGATAGGTATAGAAAGGCTTCAGGCCTTTTGTTCATAGGGTCGCACTGTACAGTACACAACAACAGTCATTGATATGAGAACAATAAAATGATCCCCCCCCCGCCGCCTAAAAGCTATCTAAGCAATGAAAAGACATGGTAGGAAAGCTTAATGTGATTGTTTTAAATTGTGATTTTTAAGGAAAGTTTACAGAAAAGTCCAATTTTCATTCATTCATTGTTGAATGTTTTCCTCCCTCCCCCACCTTTCCCTCTCCAGTTCACTTACTTTAAAATATTTATTCATTGTTGCACAATTTCCTCTTTCTCCCTTCCTCTCTTCCTTCCCTCTCCTCCTCCAGTCCACTTTGTAATGTACCTCTTATTCTAGACTGTTGTCATACAAATAATGCCTAATCATATATTCCTTTTAAACAACTCTTTCCCTCATCTGTTACACTGCAAAGAGGACTTTCTTCCCTAGTAAACTGCTTTAGTCAAACTTCCTTCTAGGTGGTATAGCACTGGTCTGTTGATTTGCTGTACAGAGGTAATTCGTGGTTGCTCTGATGCTTAATACTGTGACACTGATGTGCCAAATGCGATATTGGTCACCCTTGGAGGACAGTGTTTGGTGGAGCTCCCCGATTAAAACAAGCTTGGAGCAGAAGTGGCAGCCACTTCCGAAACAGCTTGCCTCCCGAAACCCTATGAACTTGGAGAAACAAAGAAACTTATACAAGTGTTCAGGTCTTTTGGTTGTAACAACAGCAACAATACATCCCAGTATTGCATGAAAGGAAGAATTCAATTAAACAGTTGTGCTGAAAAAGCTGTACATAATGGAATAACTCTTAGTGAATTATATTTAGTCATACACTAAAGAAGATGAATTGAATTCAGCTTACTTTCCTATACTTGGCTTTAGAGTGCAAACCTCTTTCTACAGCCATGGACCACTCTTGCTCCTTTACAGATTCAAAATAGAAAAAGGCTTCTGTGCTCAAGTCCAGTTCCTGGAATCTGAGAAAACAAGAGGATGTGAGCTCTATATACATCCCACAATTATCTCTGACTTCCTCTTGTCCTATTTTTTGAAACATTAGATAGAAAAAGGAATGGGGGTGAGTGAGGAGAGAAATTACAGATTTACTCAACTCATCAAATAGTCAGTAAGGACAAATAGTTTTCTATTCTAAAGATTTTCCACCAGCATATTCACAGGCCACGCCAAAAAAGAAAAACTTCTACAAGGAGTAGAACTGCTTTCAGCATAGAAACCGTCATTGTTAGGTGCCAACTTTCAGTCTCAGTTTCTAAGAAAAATGCCATTTACTACGGATTTTAAGAAGGATTTCTGTTGAGGAAGTCCATAGTGTGTTTTTCTTCTAACCTGAAGAATGCGTTTCTGGCAGCTCAAATCTACCAGCTGCTCTGTGGCAGAAAGTCTCCTCCCCTTGTGATTTCCAACCTTGGAAACTTGATGGAAGGTCACTATTAGTCAGAACAGACTCGACAGCTGTAAAGTGTGTTGGTTTTATGGGTTTTAAGAGTACTGAGTGATTTCTTACATCATTTTCTCTATCTTTTCATATCTCACAAATTTGATCCATAAATTAACTCTCAAAAAACAAAAAAATTAACTCTCATAGAATTCATTACAGGCTTCTATCAAATAGGGAAGGAAAGAAAAAAGGGAAGGCAGGCAAACATAATGTACACAAGCACCAAGCATACAGCCAGTAATAAACTGCAGAAGTGTCCTTTACCCGATGCAGTAGATATCAGGAGGATTCGAGTCGCAGTTGAGCCAAGGTTCTAATCCACTGTCTGGAGACTGGCCATTAACATTCCAAGTTCCAACGAAAAATCTAATATATAATACCAAAAAAATTAACTTGAAAAGAAAATTCAAATATGAACCAATAAAGCTCTCTCTTGCCCCTCCTATACAAGGGCAAGTTTAAATGCACATAATTTAATTATCTAGAATACACGAGACCAGTAGACTTTTTTGCCCTCTAAATTTTGCATGAGGTAAATCTCCTCCTTATGATTAACTGCCTTTGAAAACCAGTTGGAGGATCAGCTATGGGTTGGTTCCAACAGTACAAAACAACAAAACTACAGAAAGGAACCAGATTTCTGTTTTAAAAAGACAAAATTTAACTGCTGTACTATATTTCAACTAAACTCCAACCAAATTCAAACTTGAAGGGATAGCCTGAGGATAAGAAAGTACTATCTTCACATTGCAAGCTAGTTGAACATGGGCAACTGTTACATAGTTGTAGTTGAAACAAAAAAACCCACTTCCCAAAAGATTATAAGGATATTTATATAGAAAATTATGATGAGGCAGATATAAAATTAAGGAAGAAAGCAAAAGGGGAAATTCATGACTACCTTAATTATTTAGATACAGATATAATCATCATGAGGAATATAAGGAAGTAGAAGTTTTAACTTAGGGATATAGTTATGATATGAATGAGGCATGCTTGGACTACAATTCTGGATTAGAAGGGTACATGCTATTCATGAATATAGACCTCTCACTCAAAAGTACAATGAATAAAAGATTCCTTAACTTATCAAAGCAAGTCAAGATTTACTGTAATGGATGGAATTTACTTTTTCAACATTTGCTGGGGTGAGGGCAATAAGCCAGATAGGAAAGCATGACTGCATGTGGAATGAGCTTCAGGATAATCCACTAGTAGATAAGAGACTGATCTACTTTTGTAAGACAAGAACATGAGTGGGTGTGGTATTATGAATAGTTAAAAAAGCCAAGGAACTTTGGAATTGGGTATGTATGCTATTGGCCAGCATAGAGACTTGAATCAGAAAATAATTCTTTAAACCATGCTTAAAGTCTTAAGCCAGTAACTTAAACATCAAAAGGCTATTTTCTACTATACCCAGTACTCAGTAAGTAGAAGAGAGACTAACTTGAAAGCCTGAATGTTAACATATTCTTTCTCATGCTTTGCCAGGATATGCTTGATGAGACCCTCCCTCTGCCCAGACTGGTTACTTGGCACAAAGAGCTTCCGCATGGTGTTGGTCACTTTGGGCTGTTCCTTGTTAGTTGCTTCTTTTTCACGTGGTAGCCTGACAAATAAAAGAGGAATTCAAAGGTAAAACTCCCTAAAACAAGTCTCCCATATGGGAAATATATCCCCGACGTGGCACTTACATTTTACTGACGGAGCAGGGTGGAGGTGGGGGTTCCCGGTGAGTCCCTGTAGGCTGATTTTGTGTATTTCTTCTCTTGTCCAAATTCATAGCTGAAAAATTATCCTCAAATCCAAAAGGCCCTGAAGGACACAGAACCCAGAGTCAAAGGGAGCAGGGTGCTAAAAGTCAAGATAGCCCGTGTTAGATGGGGACTGTGACTAAAGTGGTATTAATTAACAGATCTCAGAAAGGTTAATTCTTTGAACTAGGAGTGAAGGAACATATCTGTCCCTAAAGCACATAGTAACTCGAACAAGAGTAGGTTACATTACTCCGAGATCTGAATAACACCACCTAGCATTTACTAAAGACTTAGCACAGTGCTGGCTATCATTATCTCACTTGTCACAATAACCTACTAGCTAAACTAGCATGTCACAAAAAAGCTTATGAGTCACATTAATCAGAGGCATGGGCTAGCCAAAATCACTCCCCACAAAAATGTCCCCAATATTGCCATTAATCCACATAATTTCATCTGTCCAGATAAAATCTATTGACTCAGCAACCAGGGAAAAAGGATCCTTTTAGTACCTGAAAACCCAGGCTTGTCTTTAGTGTCTAATTTCTGGTACCAACTGGATGACTCCTTTTGCTCTGGAACAAGAAGTTGTAACTGAGCTGAAGAGAGAAGGGCCATGGGTCAGAAACTGGGGATTGCTCTATTGAGCAGAATTTGTCATAACCAAAAGCCAGTAATACAATCTTTTTTAAACACAAAGGCCAGCACTATCCCTGAATATAAAGGTAGAATCTAAGAAAATGTGTCCGCAATGAGATTGGGGATTCTAGAAACTGGCTCAAATTCTCCTTAAAGTAGAGTAAGCTTGTTCTCTTAATCTATCCCCAGATTCATCCCCTGAAGAAAGACTAAAAGAAAAAAAAATATCAGTATTAAGGTTAAAAGTGCAAGGCATTTTGTCCATGGCCTCTTGCCTCTATATCAGCACATAAGCAGTTCACTCTTGTTTAAATTATACAAAGAAAATTGCTGAGTCTTGAGCTACCTTCCTGAGCAGCAAGGACTTCTGAAAGGAACTTCAAGCATAGTTCTTCATCAGGGATTTCAAAGCGGCGCTCTCTGCTCCAGTCCCCCTGAACCCGAATTTTGCAGCCACCTGGAAAGAAATGAAATCCATACACATACAGCTATGAAACATAATGCCTTATTATGATGTCATCTTACCAGGTTAATAGAAGTTATAGGTCACAAATATTCCAGACTTCTTATGCAGGAAGCATATGTAGAACATGTGGGGGAGGGGGGTTTAAAGGGAGAGGCTAGAGAGAGGATAGCCCTGAGAATTTAGCATTCCTAAAGGTGGACAGTGTCAATAAGGAACTTGATAAAAGTGCTAAGATACAGACTGAAATCACTGTTCTCTACACTGGAGATGCTTCTAATTGTTTTATGTGCCATCAATTGGCACCAACTCATAGCTGACTCTCCAGTGGGTTTTCAGAGACTGAAACTACATGGAGCAGACTGTCTATCTTTCTCCTGTGGAGCAGCTGGTGGATCTGAACCACCTGCCTTTGCACTGGCAGCACAACTCCTTACCACTAGGCCACCACCAGAACTATCCAGTGAAAGACAAATTCCCCAATCAATTTCCAGGTAGTAAGTCCTACTACTATGAATCTAGGTCTTGGATTAAGAATATTTTAAGAATGAAAAGCATAAAGAATGTACAATAGCTTGTTCATAGGTACAGATTTTACATGGACAAATTTGCAAACTTATTTAAAAAACAAACTAACAGTGGAATTGGGCCTAATTATTCTGAAAAGCCTTATCATTGCAAGTGAAAAAAACATGTCTTGAATCAACGTCCTGACCTAGAGAGCAACATAATGACCTATGCAGCTGTTTGGTTCAAGTACAGCCAACCAGAAAACTGTAATTAGAAGAAAAGGTGCCTAGAACATTAGCTTCTTCGGCATAAAACATATTAGCCTTCCTCTTCTGATTCCCTCGAGTTATCATTTCTATTAATCATTTGGATGTAGTGATACAAGAAACCTATGACTTTGTTTATATTATGATTTTATCATATTATATTACTTTCATTGCTGGTAAGGAGCTGCGCTGCCATACCAAAGGCATTTGGTTTGAATCCACCAGCTGCCCTGTGGGAGCAGGATAATCAAGCTCCTCCCATGCCTCTGCAAACCACTGGAGGGTCAGCTATGAGTTGGTTTCAAGTAGAGGATACACAACAATACTACTCTCTTAGACTCCTTGAAAACAAAAAGTAGTCTGTACTAACAAACTATTCCAGTATTTCAGGGACTGAGGGGTTCCTGGGATGCCGGACTTCTGGTGCTGAGACCATGAAAGTCCCAGCTGAATCAGGATGGCTGTTCACACAACTTGTGACAGTGATGCCACAACATCAGAGAGGGGACATATTTAGTTAAGTGACAGCTGAACTGAACTCTTCAGTTCACACCGGTACCCAGCAAAGAAATGAAAACAATAAGATGAAAATCCGAGTTCCTTAAGGAGGAAATGAGATTCTGAACCTTCGCTCTAGTTGTTCCTTCTGTATTTCCTGATATTTCTATCTTCATAGACAGGGTTAAAAAGGGAAAATAAATGTAGTGATCAGAAGATGAACAGTGATTTTTTTTAATGGAGAATAAAATGAAAAAAAAAAGGCACCCAAGTGCATCAGAGATAAGAAAATTAATGAGCTTGCCCTGGTAAGGAGAGGAGAAAATAAAAAAAGAAGAAGAACACACTGTGTCGATCAGGAGCAAACAGCCTTGAGGATCCAGGGAAAAATTCCTTCGGGGCCTAACAGTCCTCCCTTTCTCAGATAATTTATATTAAAAGTAGCAGAAATACAGAAATTCAGACCAAGAACATCTCTTTTCTCCCTAAATCCTTGTAAGATACATTTTAGAAAATATTAAAAAAAATGAATTGAAACTGACTCATTCAATGGCCAAAAGATTCCAGAAACTGCTTACAAAATAACACTGTTTATTATCTCACCATGTAGTGTGGGGAAGAGGAGAAATGACTCCAGCTCTCAACCTTTTTCTCTCTTCCAACATTCTGTGGGTCTCCAACAACCTCAACTTCTCTGAATGCTACTGCCTCTTCTTCTTAGTGGTTCTCCACTATGGGGATACTGGAATCATTACAAGTGCTTTTAGAAAATACTGACACCTGGGTCCCACACCAGGCCAATTAACATGGAATAGGGGGAGGGGGAAGAAGGGACAAAGGTACTGGTATTTTTAAAAAACATTCCCTAGATGATGATAATATGCACCAGAGTCAACTAAAAATGGGCTGATCCCTAAGAATAGCATTCCTAAGCAGTGCTCTCAGATGAAGAGTGTTTATAGTACCTCACCTATAAGTTTTGTGTTAGGTTTTTAAGGAACCCTGGTGGTACTGTGGTTAAAGAACTCAGTTGTTAGAAGACAGACCTTGGGTCAAACCCTCCAGCCTCTGTGCTAGAGAAAGACAAAGAGTGTGGCTTTCATAAAGATTCACAGCTTTGGAAACCATATAGAGTAGTTCCACCCTGTTCAATAGTGTCACTATGAGTTGGAATCAACTTGAGAGTACACTGGATTCTTGCTCCTTATTTTTTCCAATGCCACATCCAGATTATTCCCTCTCCCCTCAGGAAAATTCCTCACTCCTTTGAGGCTTACCCACTGAGCTATCCTACCGTCTTTCCTTTCCCTCTTTAATGAGATTGTCTATTATACTCTCGGAAACTTTTTAGTCCAGAATTCAACATCTTACCTGAAAGGCTTCCTCTCTATTCAAAATCTTGCCATTTTGTTTGAGGTCCTTAGAAATTAGCATGGAAAATCCAGTCAATACCTTCAATTTACGTCAAAGAGATAGAAGCAACTAAAGTGCCCATCAGCAAATAAATGGATAGAAGAACTATGGTAAATACACACAACGGAGTATTATGCAGCACTGGGGGAAAAATGAACTTGTAAAGTATTACACAATATGAGTGATCCTAGAAGACATTATGCTGAGTGAAATGTCTCAGTCACAAAAGGCAAATACTGTATAACATCACTGTTATAAAATAGGACACACATGGGGGGGTGCGTTGGGAAGAGAATGGGAAAAGACTGGAGAGACAATGAACACTGCACTGGAACAGATGAGGGGAAGAACTGTCTGAAAGTAATATAAGATTAGGCATTATATGCATGACAATAATCTGGAAAATAGGGCATTGCAAAGTGGCCTAGGGTAGGAAAATGTGCAACAATGAATCAATGAAAACCCAACTTTTCTGTAAACTTTTGTTAAAATCACAATAAAAAATAATAAATCAATTTTAAAAAGGAATACCTTCAACTTCCTCATTGAATGGTACCTTGAACCTCCCTGTCATAGAAACATCACCACTTCACAAACCTCTGATGCCAATGGAATTCCTTCCAGCTTACTTTCTCATTATTTTCATTGTAATTATTCTTAGGCTTCAAGAGAACCTACTGGCACCTCTACTTTCTCAGTATCCACTGGCTCCCTCTTGCTTTCATGTCTCTTTAATCAAACAGATGCCATTATTATATTCTTGAAGAAAACTCAGAAGTGCCTTACCTGGATAAATGTAAATCCTTAGAAATTTTAACTAATTGCCTTCTATGTACTTTTACCTGAGCAACCAGAGGCAAGCATGCAGGCAGAATGCTATCACTATATATTTTTGACTGCCAATCTCAAAACTGGGACTCAATGATATGGAGCAATTTTAAGCTTCTATCATCAAAGTCTTTTTCAATCACTTGCTGTGCATCTAAGAGCTAGACAATGAATACAGATGACAGAAGAACTGATACCTTTGAGCTGTGATGTTGGAAAAGAGTACTGAACATCCCATGGACAGCCAAAAGAACAAATACATATGTGTTGGAGAAAGTGGAGCCAGAGTGCTCCTTGGTGGCAAAGATGATAAGGCTTCATTTTAAATACTTTAGGCATATTGCTAGGAGATGCTATCCCTTGGAGGACATCATACTTGAAAAGGTGGAGGTCAGTTTTAAAAGACAGGAAGATACTTAAGGAAATAAACTAACACAGAGATTGCTGCTGCAATGGGCTCAAGTACAGCAGAGATGATGAGGATGGCACAGGATAGGACAAGTTCAGATCTGTTGTTCAAAGGGTCGCTATGAGTCATACTTGACTCAATGGCACCCAATAACAACCATAGTCAGGGATACAAAGATTACAGCTTTGGAAACCCTAAGGGGCAGTTCTACTCTATTCTCTGGGTTACTATGAATTTTGAGTTTGAAATTTTTTGTTTTGTGTGTGAGAGTCTGTGTATTTTGTATATAAGTCTACTAGTCATCTACTATCTGTAACAACTATTTCATACCTTCTCAATTATCCTCAAACTTCATGTTGCTCTACTCAAATTCTTCTATTCCAAATATCCCTCACTTCTGTTTCTTACTTAAGATTACCTCAGTTCCTACTTTTAAAGTAAAATAGAAGCCATTATCTCTATTTGTACTCATCCTTTCCTTTCCTTTCTGATACAAGAAAGAAGATTAATAAAAGGCTACTTTTACTCTGACTTACAACGCCTCGGATCATCTCACAAATCTTACATTCACACCCATTCTCCAGACACCTCTCCCCAAGGCCAGTATCTTTAGCATTTCGATTACATAGATTCCTTATTCCTTCCATCAGCATTAAACAGTACTGAGTTCTTCTCAATAAAAAAATAAAGCATTCTTCAATTCTGTATTTTTCTTAAACTCCAGTCCATCCCTAGTATTCTCCTCCATGGCCAAGCTTGAAAAAACAAAATTATCTTGAGCATACCACTTGCTCACTTCCCATTTCTCTCTTTGGTCCATCTCAGTATCATTTTTACTTCTATCACTCTTCTAAAATTGCTTTTTCTAAGATTACCAATAACTTTCATTACTAAATCCAATGGATATTCTTTAATTACCTTATTAGACCTATCTGCAATATCAACAGTTGATTACTACTTGAAACTCTTCTCTTCTGAAGGTTTCCATGATACCATCCATACTCCTTTAGTCTGCCTGTCACCCCCTCTCCCAGGTCACTTATGTTTAGTATCCTTAGTATCTCTCCTCC